CATTGTGCTCCTCTAGAGGATTACTGGTATTTGGTGGGGCTATGTTATTTTGGTTTTTCATGTTATTATTTTCTCTCTGTGATTTTGACATGTGAATTTTTCTGATTTCTGATTCTTGTGTGAGACTCAAGCCTTCAGGTTTAGGTCTGCTTCTTTTTGTAAACTTCATGTGTCTTTGTGGTTTCCTTTTTGTTCATGAAAAGCTTGTTCATCTAAGCTTCCAGTTCTCCCTTTTGATTTTATATTGGAGTGGCCAGATTGCTTTTGTCTTCAGGAGTTCCCACAGAGGCCCAAGTCAGATGAGGATCAGATGCTCTCAGGCTTTCCCCTAAGGTCTGGATCCCTCCAGGAACTATTTTGTCCTCAGGAATTTGGGGGTTGGACAGGCCTGGGAGCAGGGCCCAGGAAAGATGCTGGTCTAGGGCAGCTGGTGGCTGTGGCACACAGAGATGCAAAGGGCGATCAGGGCAGGAAGTGGCCCCAAGAGCTCTTGGGTACTGTACTGAGGAACTGGGTTGGTCTGGATGCAAAGGATGAGGAAGCAGAAAGGTCAGCCCCAGTGTCCAGGAAAGAGTCTGGTGGGTTGTGCAGCCCAGGGAAGCAGAGGGAGGTGAGGGTGGGACTAGGCCCCAAGGGCTCTGAGGGGAGAGAGGCTGGTGGGTTGTGCAGACAAGAGAACCAGAGGGAGGTGAAGGTAGGACCAGGCCCAGAGGGTTCCTGGGGACCTCAGAAGGAACTGGTTTGGTTTGGATGCAAAGGATCAGGAAGCAGTGGTGGTTCCCCCGGTGTCTGGGGCGCCAAGACAAGGAATGGGACAGGTCCCAGGCTAGGAGGAGAGAAGGCCGGGAGATGGAAGGTTGAATGAGGCTGGGGGAGTCAAGGCACAGGAGGGCGCAATCGACTTACCCCAGAGAGAGGCCTGCGGGTCGTGCAGGCCCAGGGAAGCAGAGTCAGGTGAGGCAGATTAATATTTTTTGATAAGATTCTTTCTTCTTTTTTCCTTAAAGAAGTGATGTATATTATAGGCAAACATCACTGGATTCACTGGATTTTCACTTAAGCATAATGTGTCCCTCCCTCCCTTCCTTCCTTCCTTCCTTCCTTCTTTTTTTTTTTTCTTTTTTTGGGACAGGGTCTCCCTGTAGCCCTAGCCTGCCTGGAACTCCCTATGTAGACCAGGCTGGCCTCAAACTCACAGAGATCCACCTACATCTGCTTCCTAAGTACTGGGACTAAAGGTGTGTGTCACCACATCCAAGAGTAATGTGCCATTTCTTAATGATCTGATCTGAGATACCTGAAACTTAATATTTGAACATTTAGATCTATTTCTAGATGATGAGTTTTCATCAGATTTCATAGAGGGAGTGTTGCTATGTGCTCTCACTCTGGACAGATGGACAAATTTGGGTGGAGCTTACTCTGCTGTTTACTAGTTAGATCACTTTGGAAATGTAAGTTAACTCAGATGCAAATAAGCCTGTTTACTGATTTGTAAAATGAGGATGGTGATTATACAACCTCAAAGGTTAAGATGAGGACTCAGTAATGTATGTGAATAAAGTACTTTCCATGGTGCCTGTAAGGCAGGTCTACACAGTTCACAGGTGTCTGTAAGGCAGGTCTACACAGTTCACAGGTACCTGTAAGATAGGTCTACACAGTTCACAGGTGCCTATAAAGCAGATCTACACAGTTCACAGGTGACTGTAAGACAGATCTACACAGTTCACAGGTGCCTGTAAGACAGGTCTATACAGTTCACAGGTGACTGTAAGACAGGTCTATACAATTTACAGGTGACTTTAAGGCAGATAGGTCTACACAGTTCACAGGGTTCCTGTAAAGAAGGTCTACACAGCTTGCAAGGTGCCTGTAAGATAGGTCTACACATGTTAGTTGCAGCTTTTGTTGTTATTGTAAGTTTTAAGTTAAAACTTGAATGAAAGAAGTTCTAAAATCTTTAATTTCAAATAAGATACTGTCAGTTATCTTCTCAGGAATGTATTTATGTGATTCAAGAAATCATAAAAATGAGAAGGGCACTGAAAAACACTTCCTCCGACATGGAATACTTACTTGAGTTTGTGTCTTCTGTATGTTGGAAACCACTCTGTGTAGCTTGGGACATGCTACCTTTCCTGCAGTTGGGTGTATACATGCCTTTTCTTTCAGTTGGTCTGAAACAGTTTTAGAATAGGGACCATGTCGTAATCTTTACTTTCTGTGCCTTAGTCATGAATACAGAGGTCTAGTAGAATGAAGGAGAAACCACTTGGAACTTAAAATCACAAGAGAAGCACTTGTGCACTCAGTGCTGTAATGAATGACCATTTTGAAAGGACTCAGTTATCCCACTGGAAAGTAGAGATAAATGTCTGTTTCTTAGTGTATTAGGTTAGTTATATGAGAAGGTGCATAAGAAAGTACCTTGTAAACCAAGTTAGTACAGGCTATCAGTGTAGTAGTTGTAACCGTCATTCATAAATATTGGTTGGATGAAAACAGGAAGTGAAATGAAAACAAAGCTGTTGTTTTGCTAAACTTTAATCCATTTCTACTTTTAACACAATACAGATGATCCCAAATTAGAAGTACTGGATTCTCAGCTTCGAGATGCTATTTGTAAGATGCAGAGGCTTGATAAGATACTGGCAAAAAGACAATGCAGAGAAAAGGAAATTAAAAGACAAGGTGTGGAAATGAGGATAAAGTTGTGGGAAGAGCTTAAGGTGAGAACTCTGTGACTGTGTGACCATGTGTAACCAAGTATAACCGTGTGCAAATATGTGCTGATGGAGCAAGAGTCAGTCTCCTCTGACAGGAGTGAGGAAAGCATGGCCTCTGGTGGTAATGTGCTCGGCCTTATTGATTTACTATGTGGAAGCGGTGACATGAGTGACTGTGTATGTATGTGTCTGTGTGTGTGTCTATGTGCCTCTCTCTCTCTCTCTCTCTCTCTCGCTCTCACTCTGTGTATGTGTGTGTGTGTGTGTGTGTGTGTGTAGGGGTTGATATTATTCTGGAACCAGAAAGGGTAATTTGGTCTGTGACTGCAGACTTTGGGCCCTGTGTTGGTATGCTCATTACTCATGGACAGGCCAAGCAGATCTCTTATCACTGTCAGGCTGGGCCCTCTCAGACTGTGGAAGAGGAAGCGAGGGTGGGGTGGTGATAGCCATTTTCATCAAGGGTGTATGTCTACTTTGTCTTCTTTGGGCTTATTAGGAGATAAATAGGTTAGTGCATCAAAAAGTTAACTTTTGGTTAACATTTTCTTTTTTTCAAGACAGGGTCTCACTGTGTAGCTCTGGCTGACTTGGGATTCGCTATGTGGACCAGGCTCATCTCAAACTCACAAAGATCTGCCTGCCTCTGCCTCCCAAGTGCTGGGATTAAAGTCATGTGCTATCACACCTAGCTTTAGCTACCATTATTGCCTGAGTAAACCATTGGGACAAAGAAGTTGGGGAGTTCACTGTTTCGTCATGAGAACTCAAGATTTCTTGACAAGTTATAAAGTGGTCAAGGCCTGGGCTAGCCTGGGCTCCATTTGCTTCTGTTTCATCACATGTCTGATGCTGGATTACCTTTCCTTGGCCTTGGTGTGTTGCTGCCGCCCGCTCCTGAGCCCTGTGGGGGTGGGTGTAAGAAGGCACAGAGTCAACGACACAGACTCCGGGAGTCGGGCAAGTGACAAAGCAGACTTGTTTATTGTGGATATTGAGCATGCCTATATACCCCCTCCTGGTGTCCCATTGGTCCCTCGGCTGCTCCGTGCTGCCCTATTTTTTTCTCAGTGGTCTCTCTCGTCACGTGTTCTTGCATCAGCTGTTTCTCTCTGGTCAGGCAGATTTCAGGTTGGCTTAAGGGGAAGTAACTGTTGTGCATGCGCCATAGCATGTTTACCAGGCCTGTCAGCACTTCCTCCTACCTATCCAGCCTTTTTATTTATTTATATGCATCACTCCCATGGGAGCCAGGGTGCTTGGCCCCGACCTTGTTGACCCCACCTCAGAGAGCCTCCAGCATGAGGGACTGTGCCTGTCTTAGGTTGGCTTGTCAAGCAAGCTCATACCTGTCATTGACTACCAGTCCTGGAAGGAGGTGTTCTTTGGCCAGGAGCATGCGGGGTGAGGATGGAAGGCTGGTCATACCTTGGCCTCTTCAGTGATACTGAGCCATGCCTGGGCAGACTCACGAAGGGGTTCACATCCTGTGTCAGAGGGCCATGAGAACTTGTAGAGTAGCCAGGTTGACAGTGCACTGACGCCAGATGTTCTGTAGGAGACAATTAAAGAGGATGAGCAGTAATAGGAGAGCCACTCCCAAGACAGCATATGTGACTAACCAGGAGGGGTTGAAGATACTTTTTATGTTGGACCAGATTTGTCCCAGCATGCCTTTGTCTAAAGAAAGTACCAAGGCTCTTGTTAAATTTAGCTGGGAGACTTGTTCTCAAAATAGTAAGGAATAATTCAGGAACTGTTGTGTCCAGGTTCCTTTTATGTATTTTGCCAATTCCTGTGGGGCCTGTGAGACGTTGGTGACCTGGTATGGTGTCAGGCAAAAGGCCAGAAACCTAGGGTCACAGGCCAAAAGGACCATTTCTTGGAGGAGCTGTATTTCTTCACCCAGTAAGTCTACTTGTTGTTGTAAGACATGAATTTCTTGGTAGACATGTTGATTTATTAAATCCTGGGTGCGTAATGTCCCAGCTAATTTTTCTACAATCTGATTAAGTACCTGAACAGTAGCAGTGTTTTGCGTCAGGGCTACTGTGGTGGTGGTGCCAGTGGCTACTGCTGTTATAATTGCTCCGATAATGGCAGCAGTGATATAAAAATCACATTTTGCTTGTGGGAGGGATTGGAGGTCGGTAGCCTCCACAAGGGTTATGGCATGAAAATGGGTAGCATTAATTACTGGTACCCAAATGGCGGCAGGTTTCCTCACTAGGAGTATCGTTTTGGCAGGGAAGGGCCAGCAGGCAGCCAGAACACATGTAGAACTTGTACAATTAAGGGTATTGTTTGAGAGGTCGGTTGCATTGGACGATACCAGGAAGAAGGGGGGTCTGGCGCAAACAGGTGTTTGGCGTATAGAGATGATTTTTTTTCTTGCTAATAGTCAAATTTTTTGGCCAGGGATTGCTCCCATTACTTTGAGAATATGAGCTATTGAACAAGGAGCCATTGTTGCGGAAAAGGATGGGCTGAAGATCCAAGCATGCTAGGGGCCCACGTATTTCGCATTTTCCATAGATGGTGTGAAAAGTGCGTGCTAACAGCACCTTTGTAAAAGTTGGGGCTCGATGAATTATCAGGGAGCTTGTGCCAGATGGCTGGTTTTTTACTATCGCCACTGGTTTGTAACCAGAACGGGTTCAAAAGCCTTGTTGGGAGGGTGGTAAGGCAGTGTTCCCATGGGAGTGGGACTTGGAGGTCAGTGGGGAGTGTCCTGGCCTTGGGGCACTTGGGAATTAGAGGGGGGGTGAGGAGGTGGGCAGTTAGTATCATTACAAAGTGCTGTCTGCTCCATGGGCCGAGTGACGGGGGCAAGAACCTCAAATCCCGTCACTTTTCCACTGGATTTGTTGCCGTGGAAATCCCCAGTTGTCAATTTATAGAGGGGAACACAATCAGCACCAGTGTAATTAACAGTAAAGCAGGCACTGGGAGCAATGTCCTATGAGGAGTTAACTTGAACCTCATTGTGGACTAGATCCATATCTCCCCCTACCAAGGGAGGAATTTGTGGTGTGGAGGACTGAGAAGGCAGCCAACAACACATCAACTGGCATGAGGATAGGGGGCATAGGGACTATAGCCCAAAGATTAGCTGCCTCACCACTGCGGGCATGGAACACCAGGAGTGTTACCCAATACCAGATTTTAGGGAGTCGTCCTGTTGTTTCACAGGGTCTTTGGTTGCCGGTCTTTATGTCCCTTGTTGGGATCCATATTGGGGCTGTTTCATCCTGGGGAAAAACACAAGCATATCCTCTGCCACATGTGAGCAGGGGTGCAAGCTTTTGCCAAGTTAACGTGATGGGATCTCGCCATCTGACAAGGGGCAAGGGTGTAGGTTGGGGGAGTGACGCCCAATGTTTATAGGTGGGACTCATTCCCTTGTCATCAAAGTGAGGAAGTTAAGATGAAACAACGTCTCTATTAGGGCCAAATGTGGGTCATGCCTAGATTCAGGAGAGGTAACCTTGGCCAGAAGAGTTTTGAGAGACCTCTTGGTTCTCTCTACAGTGGCCTGTCCCTGCGGATTATAGGGGATGCCGAAAGTGTGGGTAATTTTCCAGGAAGCCACAAAGGAGTTAAATTGTTGAGAGGCATACGCTGGGCCATTGTCTATCTTTAGGGCCCAGGGAACGCCCATAACTAACATAGCTGATTTTAATGCCTTGATTGCATGTAAGGCCTTCTCCCCCATTAGAGTCATAGCATGTACAAACGAGGAGCAAGTGTTCACGATCACATTAACATATTTAAGGTTTCCAAAAGGTGGATGATGTGTGACATCCATTTGCCA